CACGGGGGAGGCTGCCCCGGCGCGGAGCTGGGGCGGGGGATAAGGTTCTGTTTTATCGTCTAGATTGAAAAAAAAAAAAAAAATTGAGGCCTTAAAGGCTCAAATTAGGGTAAGAACACTCTTTTCCTCATCATGTTGCCTTTCGCAGAAGAATTTCAAGATGGTTTCAAACATTAATTATTTAAGACCTTCCAGCGCCAAGGCTCCATATGGGCAAATCACTTAAGCAGATGTGTAACTGCGATTTTTAGCAAGCGTATATCCCTGTTTCTGTTTCCAGTTGATTTCGAGAAGATACGAAATGAGCTTAGTTTTAGGCAGGTGCTTAATATTTGGCTGGAATGAATCTCCTTTAGAAGCCACCAAAGTGCATATGTTAATTAGGAAATATAAGCAAAGACCTGGAATTATGGTCTCTGCTTGCAACTTCTTAGAGATGTAGAACAAGAAAATAGGTTCTGTAGAATATGAGCACAACTAATGCTCATATTTATATTTATGTCAGAAAACTTTTAAATTTTCCTGATATCCCCTTAAAATGCCTTGATTTGACTTTGGTTTTCTTACTTCTTGTTTTTCAAAACCTTTAAAAAATAGGAATTTTAAAAAAGGGTATTGAGTGGAATGTTAGGCTCCCGTTTTTCCTTCTGAACTGATGATTTTTCATTGTTTAGTGTCTTACCCTGTTTTTTAGTGGAGTGTACCATTAATCACCAACCAATCCCTATTGAAATACATTGTCAGCATTTCTAACGTACAGTTGCACGTTTTGCTTATTAAGAATTGAATGAGCTTGCAAAAAAATGGGCAATTTCTTCAACTCACTGATCCTTTTTCGTGTCAGGTACCGATTTAATTTCAGGAAGCTTTATTACCGTGTTGCCTTCATTGCTGGCAAAAATCTTTGGCACTAAATTTGACACCAGTGCTGTTGGTACATTATTGTTGCAGTAACAGAGCTGTGCATCTACCTGCTGTTGCTTTCCTTTATTTGCTTATTGTGCTTTATAGGTTTTGATGTATGAGAGTCCTGGAAGCGGTCTATAGTACACAGCTTTTGTGATCAATCCTAGTTTATGAATGTTAAAAACGATCGTTTGTGCTGATCCTGAGTTATGTTTAAATGCAATTACAGCTGTA